ACAGCAGATTCTGACACGGAGGTGATCATATCATTATACTACTACCTAACTACATCGTAACTCCCAAACCACTGATAATCATGGCCCAGCCAATTTGACACATAACTTTACAATCACAGAACTCGAGGTCTTGAATTTTTTCTTCAGTTCTTTCAGCTTGAGAAATGCCAAGCATGTTCTTCCCTTTTGGTTTTCTAACTCCAGGTCTTTTCACATTTCATTATAATACTTTACTTTGTCTTCTCGAGCCACCTTTTGAAACCTTTTGTTCAGCTCTTTTACTTTATCATTTCTTCTGTTCACTTTAGCTACTTTATGTTCAAAAGCAAGTTTCAGAGTATCATTTGACATCCAGATTTTTTTTTTTTTTTTACTTCCCTGCCTTTTTAATGCTCTTTTGCTTTCTTCATGTTTGATGTCCTTGATGTCATCCCACAACTTGTCTGGTCTTCAGGCATTAGTGGTCAATGCATGAAATCTATTCTTAAGATGATCTCTAAATTCAGGTGGGATATACTAAAGGTCATATTTTGGCTCTCGGGGACTTGTTTTAATTTTCTTCAGCTTCAACTTGAACTTGTATATGAACAATTGAAGGTCTGTTCAGCAGTCATCCCCTTGTCTTGTTCTGACTGATGATATTGAGCTTTTCCATCGTCTCTTTCCACAGATGCAGTAGATTTGGTTCCTGTGTATTCCATCTGGTGAGGTCCACATGTATAGCCACTGTTTATGTTGGTGAAAAAAGATATTTGCAATGAAGAAGTCATTGGTCTTGCAAAATTCTATCATGACATCTTCGGCATCATTTCTATCACCAAGGCCATATTTTCCCACTACTGATCCTTCTTTGTTTCCAACTTTTGCATTCTAATCACCAGTAATTATCCACGCATCTTGCTGCACGTTTGATTGATTTCTGACTGCAGAAGTTGGTAAAAATCTTCAATTTCCTTATTTCTGACATACTGGTTGGTGCATAAATTTGAGAGTCGTATTAACTGGTCTTCCTTGTAGGTGTCTGGATATTATCTTACCTCTGACAGCGTTGTACTTTTTGACGATGAATATAATGACGCTATTCCTCTTCAATTTGTCATTCCTGGTGTCATGGATTGAATTGTGTCCCCCAAAAATATGCGTATCAATTTGGCTAGGCCATGATTCCCAGTATTGCGTGATTGTTCACCATTTTGTCATCTGAAGTGATTCTCCTAAGTGTTGTAAATCTTACCTCTATGATGTTAATGAGGTGGGATTGTTGGCGGTTATGTTAATGAGGCAGGACTCAATCTACAAGATTGGGTTGTGTCTTCAGCCAATCTCTTTTGAGATATAAAACAGAGAAGCAAGCAGAGAGATGGGGTGATCTCATACCACCAAGACAGCAGCACTGGAGCAGAGAACATCCTTTGGACCCGGGGTTCCTGTGTGGAGAAGCTCCTAGACCAGGGGAAGATAGATGACAAGGATCTTCCTCCAGAGCTGACAGAGAAAGCCTTCCCCTGGAGCTGAGGCCCTGAATTTGGACTTCTAGCCTACTGGACTGTGAGAGAATAAACTCTGTTTGTTAAAGCCATCCACTTGTGGTATTTCTGTTACAGCAGCACTAGATGACTAAGACACCTGGCATAGTAGACCATATGATTATCTGATCCAAAATGGCCAATACCAGTCCATTTCAGCTTACAAATGCCTAGGGCATCAAAAGTCCAATTCACATTTGATGACTTCCAATTTTTCTAGATTCATACTTTGTACATTACATGTTCTGGTTATTAAAGGATGTTTGTAGCTGTTTTTCTCATTTTGAGTTGTGTCACATCAGCAAATGAAGGTCCGGAAAGCTTGACTCCATCCATGTCATTAAGGTCGACTCTACTTTGAGGAGGCAGCTCTTCCCCAGTCATATTTTGAGTGCCTTCTATCCTGAGGGGCTCATCTTCTGGCACTATATCAGACAATATTCCGATTCTATTCATAAGGTTTTCACTGCCCAGTTTTTTTTACAAGTAGACCACCACGTCCTTCTTCCTAGTCTGTCTTAGTTTGGAAGGTCCACAGAAACTTTTCCACCAGGGGTGACCATACTGGTATTTGAAATACCAGTGATATAGCTTCCAGCATCATAGCAACACACAAGCCACCAGAGTCAGACAAACTGACAGACACCTGGGGAATATACCAATTATTAATACTAATTCATGGGGCAGCCAGCAAGGCTCAAGACAACATTATTTCTAAGCATTTTTTCCACAGGACTCTAGTCACAACTGATACTCCTTAACGAGAGAATTCTGTAGTCAAATTTTTTGGAGTATTATACATTGTATCTTCCACTCTCTTAGAGATATACTTTAATGTACTCGGCGCTCCATATTTGTGGGTTCAGCATCCAGGGATTCAACCAACCGTGAATCGAAAATATTTGGGGGGGAAAAAACACTTTTTTTCTTGTCATTATTTCCCAAACAATACAGTATAACATCTATTTACATAGCATTTACATTGTATTTGGTATTAATCTAGAAATGATTTAAAGTACATAGGAGGACATGCGTTGGTTATATGCAAATACTATGTCATTTTATATAAGTGACTTGAGCATCTTCGGATTTTAGTATCCACAGGGGTCATGGAACCAATCCCCCATAGATACTGAGGGATAGCTATATATAAAAAAATACTGTAATTAAAAATGCTTTAACTTGATATAACTCAGTATTTTCTGAACTTATTTGATTATTCCATAGAAAACTTTCTTCATTTAGCCCCTAATTAACATCGCCTAGGTAAGGCTATAAGGAGCCCTGGTGGAGCAGTGGTTAAGCAAAGTGGTTAAGCACTTGGCTGCTATCTGAAAGGTAGTGGTTTGAACCTACTAGTTGCTCCGCAGGAGAAAGATGTGGCAGTCTGCTTCTGTAAAGATTTACAGCCTTGGAAACCCTATGGGGTAGTTCTAGTCTGTCCTACAGGGTCTCTATGATTCGTAATGGACTTGATGGCAACGGGAAGTAAGGCTATAGGGTTGAAAAGCCATTGTTTTATGAAGGAATAAAATGGGACAGTGGCATTGGTTTGAAAAGAATAAGAAATGCTTTAATAACACCCTAAATGCAATGGAAAATGGCATCTCTGAATCGAAGTTTTGGTGGGGGTAGAAGGCAGGGATTGATCTAATACGCAAAGAAGAATATAAAATAATGAGAAGCTCTGAAGAAAGGAGAAAGGAGGAGATGATTCCACAAACCATAAGAGACACTTTAACTATAACTGGTATTAAATGGCCTGTAAGATAACCAGTCATGTTTTCATATATATCCATCAGAGCTCTTCACCCCAAATTGGTATCATTATCAAATATTAAGAATTAAAATCACATAGCTTCCCCATAGTGAAGAAAACAACATTTCTATGTAGCAGAAAGATTTCTAAATCTTTACCAAGATTTCACTTGTTTAAAATACTATTTAACACAATAGAATTTTAGTAAAATAAAAGCAAAAAATTTGGAAAGTCATTGGAGTTAGTTTTATATTAAGCTAACAACACAGCTTTTATATATATTTTACTTGTTTAACTTCGTGTTCTCTTACGGTTTGTTTGGAGTCTGTAATGTTTTAATTAAGAAAGTTCTTAGAGTGTGTGTATTATTATGCCTAACTTGATGATCTGGCACCCAATATGCATAGGAGTATTTCATTCTAAGATGCCCCTTCTTTCACAAGATGTGAATAATATAAAACGTGAAAATTATTCTCATATTAGCAAACAGGTGAGAGTTGAACATAAATTGTAGCCCTTAAAATTTTTCCTAAATTTTTGTTATTTCAGTGTTAACTCACCAAATGGCTCTTGTTATATAAGCCTATCATGTTATGCAACTGGAGAAGAAGGATAGAGTGAGATCCAAGACTTATGAGTATGCATCTTTAAATGCCAAAATAAAGATTTTTTTTTAGCATGTGATTTTTGTGAACATTGCACACTCTTGCACTGCAACAGCATTGGTAATTTGTGACAAAAAGTTAAACAAAGACACCTACTTTGTGACAGAGTCTTTTGAATGTACCCTTGAAAAAGTCAATGGTACGCATCCATAACTACATCTCAAGTTTTAATTGGTTGCTATAGCAGCTTCGACATAAACATAACAACTAATATGCGTTTTAGAAGGATAGAGCCAGAATTTTTTTTCTACCAATGATTAATTACTTTAAAAAATTATATCCCCCTTATTTCAAGAAATAATTAAAATAATACATGTTAAAAATAAACATAAATGAGACCAGCATGAGAAAAAAAAATAAATCAAACTGGAAGGTCAAAACTAGGAGAGGAATTGGAAGGCAGATATTGAGGTCAGAGGTCGTTGTACAGATACTAAATCTGAACCACTAATTCAGTTCTGAACTTCCAGAAGGCCAAAACACAAGAGGAAATGTGATCATTTAAAGGTGTGCATTATCTAATCACTCAGAGGAAGAAAGAGTTTCCTGCTCCTTGATTCTGAATGAAAATTTTCATCTGGTGGCAACAGAATGATGTAGGGGGCATACTATCCCTTTAGAAAATATAATAGCAGCTGGTTGTTGGTATAACCAAAGTCTCACCTCTGCTGTTACATTATATTGTGAAGGAAGGTGAGGAATTTATACCAACATGCTAATCGGTAAAAGCCACCTCAAGAAAATATGGTCCAGCATGCAGCTTTCTGTTGGTATAGCTTAGTGAAGGATAAGACCTGTAACATCTCTGGTAAATGGATATGTTGCTTATTGTCTAAATTATTCCTCCTAAGCTTCACTTTTCTCAGCAGGGCCTTTGCTAACAGCCAGACAGCAGAAAGTTTGAGGCTATATTCTTTGGTAAGGGCTTATGATTTACAAATGCTTGAGAGACATATTCAAGGTATCCTACTATACAAGTCTAACTGTTTTCACCGAGACAGTTATAAAATGCAAAATTATATTTCATCACATCTATCTTATCTGGTGTACCTTTTCTTTTGAGTGAAGTGTCACCTTTCTTCCCTTTTCCTTCCTGAAGAGTTTCATGCTTACCATGCTGGGGTTCTAAACAAAATTCAACACACAAATATCATTCATGATTTTTCTCGATAGCCTGGGCTATATGACTTGCAAGCAATCAAATGTTATTTCTCACAGATAAATACATTTCTATGCCACATGATATGGCTCAGGCCTTTATTGTGATTTTAAAATTAATCAGAAAACAGACTATGGATGGAAACTTCTTGAAGAGTAACACTGATAGTAAGTACTATTCTACCTTGTTACACTGAGAAGTTTAATTCTAAATTTAATATCAACATTTGGTAGTGAATTTGATTGTAAACTCTTTAATGGAACATAGCTGTGGAGTTTTTCAAATTTATTAGAAGTCCATATGAAGCATATGACTCTATTTGGATTTATTTCAACTGATGGTACTTATGCACTAGGACAAACTGATCTATAATGGGAATAATGCCAAACATTTTGAAGAAGAGTTAAAAACCACATTTGTTTTGCTATGTTGTGTCCTTGAACTTCTCTTGACTACACACTTGGTTTCCTTGTGACATCTACGTTTTCATTTTGCATTAACTGTTAACTTGTAAAGGATGGCTTGAGTATACTTATCTTGGATTCCCTGGGATCTAGTTCAAAATAGATATGAAAAGGGAAAAATGGGAAACTGATGATGGTAAATAAGATGTCCTGAATAAGAGATACCTTGAAAAAAATTGCTGCATCCCTCATTATTCAACAAGTTCAACCATTTTCCTCCTTTTGTACTGGCTACAGTTTTTTTTTTTTTTTTTTCCTTCATTGGGAGGATTTAAAGTATGACAAGTTAAACGTCTTTGATAGAGATACCCCATTTGACTTATTCTTTGTATTCAGAAATGATGATTATGAGTATGTGTGAATGCATAGCACCTATCACTTACAGTTTAAGGTCTCAGACTCAACAAACAAGATTCCATATAAATAAAGCCACTGAATGACTTAGAAAAGGATCTACCCTTGAAACATTTGTTAACTTCTATAAAAGGACGTTTCAACCATCCAAATAGTTCATGGCTGTTATGGATTGAATTGTGTCCCCCACAAATATATGTGTTGTAAATCCTAACCTCCATGCCAGTGGGCTGTATTTCTTATGTTAATGAGGCAGGATTAGTGTAGGGTGTATCTTGAGTCAATCTCTTTAGGGATACAAAGAGATTAAACAAGCAAGCAAGAGATGGGGTAAGATAGACAACAAGACACATGAAGATCACCCAGGAGCAGAAGCTCAAAAGAGACAAGGACCTTCCTCCAGAGCAGACGGAGAGAGAAAGCCTTCCTAGAATCAGCACCCTGAATTTGGACTTCTAGCCACCTAAACTGTGAGAAAATAAATTTCTGTTTGTTAAAGATACCCATTTGTGGTATTTCTTTTATAGCAGCACTAGATAACTAAGGCAGAATTTGGTATCGAAAGAGTGGGTGCTGCTCTAACAGATATCTAAAATGTGGAAGCAGTTTTGGAGTTGGGTAATGGATGGAGGCTGAAAGAGTTTTAAGGTGCTTCATAGTAAAAGCCTAGATTGCCTTAAAGAGACTGTTGGTAGAATTATGGATGTCAAAGGCAATTCTGGTGGGGGCTCAGAAGGAAGTAAGGAGAGCTATAGAGAAAGTCTCTATTGTCTTAGAGAATATGTATGATGTCAGCAACAGAATGTTGCTAGAAATGTGGATGTTAAATGTACTTCTGATGAGGCTTTAAAAGAAAATAATGAACATGTGATTGGACAGTGGAGGAAGGGGGATGCTTTTTATACAGTGGGAAGGAACTTGTCTGAATTATGTTCAAGTGGTTGGTGGAAGGTAGAACTTGTAAGTGATGAACTTCGATATCTGGCTGAGGAGATTTCTAAGCAAGATCTTAAAGGGGCCACATGGTTTCCCCTCGCCAGTTATAGCAAAATGCAAGAGGAAAGAGGTGGACTTAAAAACAAACTGTGCAAAATGAAAACAAAATTTTAAAGATTTGGAAATATCTGTTGCACAAACTAAGGACACATATCCTAGAATTTTCACCAAGGACATGCCCATAATCTTTCATTAAAGACATAAAGCCTGTGACTGATGGATCTAACCAACTATCACAGCAGAAAAATCCATCAGTTTAGGCTTAAGGGGACAGACAACGAAAGGAAAGAACACTCTCTGCTTCTTGGAATTCTACAGGCAGGAAACAGGCCAAAGGAGGTACATCTGTTGTTCTCTAAGAGAAGAAAAGGACCTTCCCTGGAGCAGCTTGGAGATCAGCAGAACTGTTGGAAGCAGCACAGGAAGCAGGGCCTTGTTGATTTTAAAGGCTGCATCTGCTATTAAGGGGTGCCAGCGGGATGGGGCCACTGCCCAAAGCAGAGGTGGCAGGGCTGCCATGCCCAAGGGCAGAAGAATGGGGCCTGCTGAGGCTGAGGGTGTGGGGTTGTCACTCAGATGGACTAGGAGAATGAGGTTGCCTAAAGCTGAAGGAGGACAGCTGCCATACATAGCAGAGGGCCTGGAAGGCGGAGCTGAAGCCCAGGGCTGAGAGGCCTCTACCTAGAATCCAGAAAGTGTGGCCAACACCCAGAGTCTAGAGGGCAGGGCCACTGCCCAGCTGGTCTCAGAAAATAAAGGATTATTTTCAAGCTTTGAGAGCTAATGTAAATTGTTCTGCTGGGTTTAGGACTTGCTTGGTGCCTGTTATCCCTTCTTTCCTTCCAATTTCTCCCATTTGTAATGGAAATGTCCAACCTGTACCTGTTCCACCATTGTTCTTTGGTAACAGATAACTTGTAGTCTTCATTTCACAGGTTTATGGATGAAGAGGAATTTGCCCCAGGATGGAATAAGTCTAAAGTCTCACCCATATTTGATTTACGTGATTCAGAAGATGAAAGTTTGGACTTGGAGTTATTTAAGACTTTTGGGATGAAGTGAAGAGGTGAATGTATTTTACATATAGCAAAGACATAAATTTTGGGGGGCCAAAGGGTGGAATGCTAAGGATTGAATTGTGTCCCCCAAAATATGTGTTGTAAATCCTAACCTCTACGCCTGGTTATAATCCCATTTGGGAATGGGCTGTCTTACGTTAATGAGGCAGGATTAGTGTAGGGTATATCTTGAGTCAATCTCTTTTGAGACATAAAAGAGATTAAACAAGCAAGTGAAGAAGCAGAGATGGGGAAAAATGGATGCCAAGATACATGGAGATCACCCAGGAGCAGAAGCTCAAGAGACAAAGACCTTACAGAGTTGACAGAGGGAGAAAGCCTTCTCCTAGAGTCAGCACCCGAGTTTGGACTTCTAGCCTCCTAAACAGTGAGAAAATAAATTTCTGTTTGTTAAAAACACCCATTTGTGGTATTTGTGTTACAGCAGCACTAGATAACTAAGACAGCCACCAAATAAACAAATAAATAAATAAATATGATCCAAGTGTTTGAGTTAGTTCCCCCCCCCCCATATAAGCTTAATAATCAAGAAGTCTAGATAAACTCCTAGTTCTTTTAATAAAAATATTCTGGGCAACTCATTATTTAACTAGCTCTAAATTCTGGCACAAGGTTACAGAGCAAAGAAGGCAAGAACAGAGATATCTTAGACACTGAACCTATAAAGTATGTGGGCAAGTCTAATTTCTGCTAGGGGCAGCACTTTGCCCATTTTTAATCAATTCTAAAAATATATTCTAAGGGTCCCTGGTGGCTCAGTAGTTAAAGCACTAGGCCACTAACTGAAAGGTAGGTGGTTCAAATATATTCTAAAATTGCAGAAAACATTCTTAAATAGTAGCATAGATAGTATTATTCTATTTTGCCCCACTTTAGTTCTAAATTCAAGACTGACATTTGGTAGCAGATTTGATAATCAACCCTTTTATGGAACACAACTGGAGTTTTTCCAAATTTAATCCCAAGTACATTTCAAGTAGATAGTTATAAAATTAAATTAAATTAAATTAAATTTAAAAAAAACCATAAAAAATGTAGAACTATATTTGGGCTAAAGGATTGTTAGGGCTCAGTGTGCTATGCCTCCTTCTTTATCCCGTTTCCCCCTTGATTTTTATTTTAGTAAATAATTCCTCTTTTCAAACTTCTAAAGAGTTGGGTATTTGAGTTGGGCATGTTCTGAAGCCTCAGGCTTTAAATTCTGACAATTTTCTTTTTTGACAAACATTTTTAAATTATTTGTATAAAAGTAAACAAGCCTGCTAGAAACTTTCTTCTGTAGAATCTCTTAACCAAGCTCCCCTGAGCTGCAGGGGCAGGGCTGTGGACTCTACTGCCCCATCTATGCCCTTGAATCTTGAGATTTTTTTCCTAGCAATGCAGTGTTGTTGGAAGGCAGTAATCAGGCATCTGAAGATTAAACCTTTTATACATTTTTAAAGATCAGACACTAGTCCTACCCTTGGTGGAAAAAAGAGACAGGTACAACAAACTCTTTGAAGCAACAATATATTTATTATTCCTCCAATGCACAGTATTCAAGAATACAATTTTAGAACTGCAAACAAACTCAGGAAATTAAGGACTGAACTGCGTCATCAACAGAAACAACTAGAGATTGGTTTCAGAAAATGGCTCAGATACATAGATATTCCTGATTGTGAGCAAGCCTGATAGGACAGAGGTGGGCAGGGCTATTATCCTACGCTGGGTAAACTCCAAGCTTACTTAAGCTGATGGGAAAACCATCCCAGTTCTAAATGACATTTTAAAGATTCCCATTTTTTCTCAAGACTTCTGAATTGTTTTTAATTCCTAATGAGGTAGTGGGAAAAGGATATATACTTAATTCATGGCTCTGTGTTTTTTGCTCATAAGATAAAAACTTTTTTTTTTTTTTTTTTTTAGGGTTTATGCATTTTGCCCCTAGTTAAGTCCATTTTGTTGGAGTAAAATGGTCTTTAATACACCACAATAAATGCTATTAAAGTCTTCAAATCTATTTGTTTAATGTAAATAATTTAGAAAAAAATTCAGACCCAGTCCAAATAAAGCAGAAAGATTATGGAGTTTAGAAATACAATAATGACAGGCTATCAAGAATATCTAGGTAATCTTGTGTAACTGCCAGCCGCTTACAAAGCTGAAACCAGAAACTATAGACACATTTGTTTCATATATATAGCACCTAACTGATACTGACATTCTATCAATATCATACTTTACAATAACTGAGCACTTTACTTTTGTTAAGTAACTATATTCATTGTCTACCACTTAATGCTATGCTTGGAGCCCTGGTGGTGTAGTGATTAAAAGCTCGGCTGCTAACCAAAAGGTCAGCAGTTTGAATCCACCAGCTGCTCCTTGGAAAACCTATGAGGCAGTTCTACTCTGTCCTATAGGGTTGCT